GGGGGGGTGGCACCGTGGAGGGGGGATGGCACCGTGGCGGGGGGAATGGCACCACAGGGAGGGGGGGAATGGCACCTTGGGGGGGAATGGCACCGCGGGGGGGGTGGCACCGTTGGGGGGGATGGCACCGTGGGGGGGAATGGCACCGCAAGGGGGAATGGCACCACGGGGGGCATGGCACCACACCGGGGGCTCGCTGAGCCCAGGACCCCACCTCAGGGCCATCGTTCTTGAAGACCTCATAGGAGCTGGTCAGGATGGCCACCACGCCCTGGTGCAGGTCCAGCAGCTTCTGCTGCACGGCCGCACGGTGCTCCCGCTGGTCCTCCTCAAACTCCAGGCCCCTGTACACCCGCTTGCCACTGATGCGCACCAGCAGCGTCTCGGATATTTCTTGGGCTCGCCAGCCGATGGTCAGAGTGGAGGCCTTGAACTCGTTCACGATGGTCTGCACCTGCGGGTAGACCGCACGGGGGCGGGGGTGGGGGGGGGAGCGGAGTTTCAGCTCGGGCAGAGCCCCTCCCGGCTTCGCTCTAGCCCCCCCCCCAGGTCCTTCCCTAAGCGCACGCTGTCTCTGTCACACCTCCCCCTGTGCCTCCATCACCACCCGGCACTCGGCCCGGCCGCCCCCCGCCCCCCTCCCGCCCCTCAGGACCGCGCCCCACCTTGCTGGCGTGGATGCGGCACTCGGTGATGAAGAAGGCGCTGGCCCCCTTCAAGGCCCAGTGCAGCTTCTTGAGTCCAGGGTGGATCTTCTTATCCAGAAATCGGATGCGCTCTTTGAAGAGGGCCTGCTCATCCGGGGACAGCATGGCAATGATCCTGCGTGACGGAAGGCTGGCAGCTGGGGGGACACGCTCTGTGGACCCCCCTCCGCACCTGGAAACTCACTGGAGAAATCTGGAAGTTTGCAGGCTAGCCTGTGCTTCCCGATAAGACCCTTGGCGACGATGGAGACCCTGCTACAACCTGCGCTGTCCAGCAGGTCACACTAACCACCTGTGGAGCTGGGGCACGCAGCCTGCGGCCTGTGCGGGTGAACAGCTGAATTTTAAATTTTTATTTCATTCCAACTAATTTAATTAAAATAGAAAGGGGGGGGCGCTTGGGTGGCTCAGTCGGTTAAGTGTCTGACTTGAGCTCAGGTCATGATCTCACGGTTGGTGGGTTCGAGCCCTACGTCGGGCTCTGTGCTGACAGCTAGGATCCTGAGGCCTCTTTTGGATTCTGTGTCTCCCTCTCGCTCTCTGCCCCTCCCCCACTCGCACTCTGTCTCTCTCTGTCTCTCTCTGTCTCAAATATAAACATTTTTAAAAAATAATAAAATAAAATAAAATAGAAAGAGGGGAGCCTGGGCAGCTCAGGCAGTTGAGTGTCCAACTTCAGCTCAAGTCATGATCTCATGGTTCATGGGTTCGGGCCCCACGTCGGGCTCTGTGCTAACAGCTCAGAGCCTAGAACCTGCTTCGGATTCTGTGTCTCCCTGTCTCTCTACCCCTTGCCTGCTCATGCTCTTTCTATCACTCTCAAAAATAAGTAAACATTAAAAAATTAAAAATAGGGGCACCTCGGTGGCTCAGTCAGTTAAGGGTCCAACTTCAGCTCAGGTCATGATCTCACTGTTCGTGGGTTTGAGCCCCGTGTCAGGCTCTGTGCTGACTGCCAGCTCAGAGCCTGGAGCCTGCTTCTGATTCTGTGTCTCCCTCTCTCTCTGACCCTCCCCTGCTCACGCTGTCTCTCTCTCTCTCAGAAATAAATAAAACATTTAAAAAAAAATTTTTTTAATTAAAAATAAAACAGAAAGAGCCATGTGTGACTGGTGGCTACCATATTGGACAGCACAGTTCTAGACAGACACCCACCCCCCTGGGCTTTAACAGGGCCCAGAAAGGTACCTGACCCCGAACAAAGCCCTGCTCCAGAGAGAAGCACCAAGAGTATCAGGAAAAGGAGTGTGGGCGTGGCCTTGGTTCAGTACATCTGTTGCGACGCTGTGCCCGCTGTGCCCATAACCCCAATGCCCCCCAGGCTCGGTCCTGGAAAAGTAACCTGGGCCCTCCTGTGGTGACAGAGGGGACCCGCTGGTTTTGCACTTTGCCCTGAAGCTAGAAGACAAACGTGCAAGGGACAGGAGCCATCACGGGGCCATACCGGGAGTATGAGATTTCTTTTTCTTTTCTTTTTTTTTTAAGCCGGGAAAAGGTAAAGGGTAGATAGCGTAGGAGCCAGACAACATCACGGGACGTATAAGACATAGAAGGGGCACGGAGCGCATGCGGGCAGCTGCCTCACCGATTGTAGTCTCGAGCCACCAGGAGCAGGTTTTCCCGAAGAATCCGCAGGTCCTCTGCTCGCTCGGCGACATTCACCACGTAATGGGGCGTCTCAAACAGCAGCCGCTCCCAGTAGTCGATCTCCACAAAGAGAATCAGCAGGGACCTGGGGGGCGGGGGGGTGGGGGGGGAGCAAAGCAAAGCAGCTCAAGGGCCTGACCTAGAACCCACAGCGGCCCCAGGGCAGCGGGGGTTGGGAAGCACAGAGACACAGAGAGAGAAAATAGGAAGCAGGATCCTCAGGGAGAGAAGCCCGACTGACTCACTAAGGCAGTGGCGGGCAGTGGGGGTGGGTGGTGGTGTCGGAATCTGACAAGCTGAGGGCTGGTGGGGACAGTGGAGAGGCCACCTGCTTAGCCATGGGGCTCTCTGAGGCTGGGGTCTCCGGGTGTCTCAGGGAGGGGAGGGGGCTATAGCAGGAAGACCAGCAGAAGGTTTAGGAAACAGCTCTCCACCTGTCCCGTCGCCTACTCTGCACAGGGAAGCAAGCGCCCCCCTCACCCCTCCAGAAGATGCAAAGCTTCTTGTGTGTAGAGGCAGAACAGAGATAGAGAGAGGGAGGGTCTTGGGCTGGGGACCTCGAGCCCAACTGAAAGAGAGGGTAACATACAGAGAGACGGGGACGTTCAGGGCCCGCATGCACACTGAATGTTAAGACCACCACCACCCCCGCCTTCTTTTCCCCACCCAGCGACCAGCTCTCAGGCCACTGGACCAGCGCCCTCCAGAACAAAGTTTGAAAGACTATTTTCTTTCTTTTTCTCATGTTTAATTTTTTTTAACGTTTATGTATTTATTTTGAGAGAGAGAGAGAGAGAGAGAGAGAGAATCCCAAGCAGGCTCTGGGCTGTTAGCACAGAGCCTGATGCAGGGGTCAAACCCACGAAATGGTGAGATCATGACCTGAGTCAAAGTCGGATGCTCAGCCGACTGAGCCACCCACAGTTTTCTGTGGCCTCTGACCAGCCTGAGAGGGTAAGTCCCAAGGACAGTGAGCTCAGGAGTCCCCTGACAACAGCCCACCGTACAGACCTGAAGCTCACCATTGATTAGCCTCACCACCTGCTCAGCCGAGCGGCCAACCTGCTTCCCAGTCCCCTCCCTTGAATATGAACAACCAAGGATCACAAAACATTGGTCGCTGTCCTTCCTGGCACAAAAGGCGGGAACCAAAACCAACAGAAAAATAAAAAAGGCAACAAGAAGGAAACAAGAGGGGACAGAGGCTGTGCAGAAAGAAGACGGGCCACACCAAATAAGAAAACTAAACGCAACTAAATTCTCTTGCTCACACCCTGAGAGAGAGAAAAGAAATAAAAGAACCCCCGTGACACAAAACCAAGATGCTAGAGAAGGGAACACCTAAACGGCTGTTGGAAGTTAAAGATGACAGCAGAAAACAACCCCATTAACAGTAAACTTGACAGAAATCTCTCGGAAAGTTGAGAAAAAGATAGAGATGGAAGACAGAGAGGACTTTGCAGGTGGGAGGGGAGGGAAGACTAGAAAGCTTACCATTAATAAGTTTTATATGAATTACAGACTGCAGTGATAATACGTGGGCAATACTGGATTGAGTATTAACATTGATTTCAGGGGCGCCTGGGGGGCTCAGTTGGTTAAGCGTTTGACTCTAGGTTTTGGCTCAGCTCATGATCTCACAGTTTCATGGGTTCGAGCCCTGTGTTGGGCTCTGTGCTGACAGCTCAGAGCCTGGAGCCTGCGGCAGATTCTGTGTCTCCCTCTCTCTGTCCCTCCCCTGCTCATGCTCTGATTTTTTCAAAATAAGCAAACTTTTTAAAAAATTGATTTCAATTGTTTCTTGTTCTTTTATTTAAAAAAGTTTTTTTAACATTTATTCATTTTTGAGAGTGAGAGAGACAGAGCGTGAGCAGGGGAGGGTCAGAGAGAGAGGGAAACACAGATCCAAAGCAGGCTCCAGGCTCTGAGTTGTCAGCACAGAGCCCGATGGCGGGGCTTGAACCCACGGACCGTGAGATCATGACCTGAGGTGATGTCTGACACTCAACCGAGCCCCCCAGGCGCCCCTCTTGTTCCTTTATTAAATGCAAGGCCAGGGGCACCTGGGGGGCTCAGTTGGTTGAGCGTCCAACTTCGGCTCGGGTCATGATCTCAGAGTTTGTGGGTTTGAGCCCCGCGTCGGGCTCTGTGCTGACAGCTCGGCGCCTGGAGCTGCTTCGGATTCTGTGTCTCCCTCTCTTCCCCTCCCCCTCCCCCACTTGTACTCTGTCTCTCAGAAATAAACATTAAAATTTTTTTTGATAAATAAATAAATAAATGAAAGGCCAGTGAACTTTTAATTGCATACGTGGCCCTCCTACCCGTGAGCTTCGACCCCTTCCCTTCCGGCTGTCATTTCAGGTCCCGCGCCTTCCAGCTCTGAGGTCGGCCACTCAGACTCGGCTCTGCTGGAGCCCAGCATCCCCCCCCCCCGCCCCCCGCCCAGGGACTGGCCCTCAAGCCCTGCAAAAGGACCTGCTCTTTGACCTCGCAGGGACTTCCAGACGGCTGACCCTGGGCTCTCTTCCCACCTGTGTGTCCCCCCATCACGGCCTCCCCCGTCACAGACCCTGCCACCTGTCACTTCACGCCCTCCTGCAATCCTCACCTGCCGGGCTCATCAGCGTAGGGCACCTGGCAGAACCCCCACCGCAGGTAAATCGTCCCTGCTGCACCCCTGCGACTGCGGCCGAGCAGGGCGGGACCATGCAGGTGGCGCACCGAGGGCCTCCACCCTGCTTCCTGGGGCCTCCCCAGTCGGCCCGCCCCCCTGCTGTCACAACAGAGCCTCCACACTCTCTCGGACCTGCCCCCCCCCCACCACATCCCTGCGGAAAGCCTCCCCTCCTGCAGCACCGAGATCCAGGGGCCCTGAGGCGAGCTCGTGCTGTCCCTCCTGCTCCGGAACCTGTGAGCCCGAGTCGTCGGGTCGCACACAGGGCTCCTCCAGTTTATGACGGAAGAGGCCCCCCTCTCACCCAAGGCCGACCCTCCTCCCGGCCTCCGCGTCCTCACCCGGGTCCTCCTCAACCTGCCGGCTCTGCCCGACAACAGTCAGGGAGGCCAGGTTCCTACGATCCTAGAAAAACCAAAGCAACACCGGCACACACGCACCATCATCACCCACCCCCCTGGCCCGGGCCCCACCTCCTCCTGCGGGTGCTGCGCCCTGCACCCCTTCACCGCACCCCTTCTACCCAGAATTGTCCTCGGGAACTCCTCGGTCCCCTGACGGCTGTCCCCTCCCCTCCACACCTGTGCCCACATCAAGTGTCCCCAGGGCATCTTGTCACCAAACCCTACAGGACTCCTCAGGCCTGGACCCGCCTCTTCACTCTGCAGGCCTGACTCCCTCACCGCACCCCTCCCCGCGTCGCCCACCTCGGACGTGCGTGGCGCACGGGCCACAGCTGAACTTGTGGCTGTCCTGCCTGCCTGTAGAAGTGTCCTTCTCTCTCCAGTGTCCCCTGGAAATCCCACTCGGCCAGGCACCGGACACCCCACGATCTCTTCAGCACCAGCTCCTGCACATCCAGCACCCTCCCTGCAACGATCCTGTCCGTGCCCACGGCTCCAGCGGCCTTCTAGAAGCTGCTGGCCCCCAGACCTCTGTAGCTAACATGAGCCCTAGGCTCACACGCCCAACTGCCTCCTGGATGCCTCCCCACCTTGGCCGCAGGCACCTCAAGCGCGTCCAGACACTAGCTCATCGTCTGCGCTGCACCCGGGGTGGGGGTGTGGGGAGCCCTGGTTGGGGGGGGGGGGGCACCGTCCTGCTGCCGGGACCAGAGCCGCGTGTCCTGCCTCAGCCTCACTTTCCGGCGTCCGGCCAACCAGCAACTCGGTCAGGCTTTACAGTCAAAGCAAAATGCAGAAAGTCCGCTGTCTCCAAGGCACATGTATGGCCTAAAGTCAAGTTCAAGAGCGCAAGGTCATCTACAAGAGCCAAGGCTCCAGGCACCGGCCGCCAGGTGGGAAGGAGGGCCCAGCCGAGTGCAGGGTCTCATTTTTCGAGAGAGGCCAGAAAGCAGGTTTTTATATCAGATTTCCCGCATTTTAAGTGCTGACGACTAATTCCACTGAGAAATAATTACAGATGGGAGGCTTCTCAACTACCAGTGACGTGCTCTCCGTGAGCTGGACTATGGTTGCCAGGATGGTTATTTTGTGCCCGTTTGTTAAAGTGATAGCGTAAGTTTTAAGTACTCTTCTGTGTGCATGATACACGTCACAATAAGAAATGCTACTTGAAGGGGAAAACTATTTTAAACCGTAAGATTATTCGTAGAAGTACAAAATTAACTTCCTAAAATCGCATCACAGTTTTCCAATATAAAAACTGTAACCTGTTAAACATTATCATGGAGGAAGAGAGACTCATGACAATTAAAACAAGAAAAATAAAATACTGGGGCGCCTGGTTGGGTCAGTCAGTTGAGCATCCAACTTTGGCTCAGGTCATGATCTTGCGGTCCATGAGTTCAAGCCCCACATCGGGCTCTGTGCTGACAGCTCAGAGCCTGGAGTCTGCTTCGGATTTTGTGTCTCCCTCTCTCTCTGCCCCTCCTCACTTGCACTCTGTCTCTCTCTCTCAAAAATAAACATTTAAAAAATAATAATAAAATAAAATGCCAAATTAACCAATGAACAAGAAATATGCAACATTTGTATCCAAACAAATTTTTATATACATCATGACATTTCTTGTTCACTGGTTAATTTATATGGAAAAAAACCTGATTTATAGACATTTTATATGGATTTAAATACATGGAAAGAAAAAAATGCTATTCTTGGGTAGAAAGACTCAAATCTTAAAGATGTTCATTCTTCTTAAGTTAACCTATAAATTCAACCCAATCCTTGTTCCTATAAAAATAGGAACAGAACTATTTGCGGAATTACACAGATTGATTCTCAAGTTCTTAGGGGAAATAAATACTAAAAATAACCTGAAAAACTGAAAAGGGAGACCAGTGAGGTCAGTAAGTAGAGCAATTTGGTTCCTTCCTGTGGACAGACAGACAGACATACCAGAACAGAATGGTGAATCCCAAAATAGACACACAATTCTATTTGGGAATT